AGCTGGCTAGCACAGCTAGCCCGCTAATTAACTGTCTTCCCTTCAATGTATTGTAGGTATACCACTAAAGTGCAACAAGCTCGTTGTACCAATATGCCAGCATCTCGGTTATACACATACAGTTGTGTCGGTAGCGCGTCAAAAGGCGCACGCTTCGTGGGCATGTAGGAAGATAAACAACGCCATTGACACCACAACATGTTCTTTGCCTCAGAAAAGGTTCTTTTGTATGGAGARTTTTCCTCCGTGTATCAACAACACTATTGGGTTCTACTGTCGTTCAAAGTGTAATGATTTCTTTCAAATGAATTGTACCAAAGCATTCAACTATGAGAGAGACATTTGTATGGAAATGCCTGAAGGAAGTAGCGAGAATGACGTTTGTGAGCAGACGCACTGGCCGCGTGCGCTTAACTGGCCTCAGGTGAGAGATGCAGCCCAAAAGAAAAACGAAAAGACGACGCCAACTGGTGAGTTGTGTACTTAGTGACGCAAACTTTGAAAATGTGATCGATGGCATCGATATACTGTGGCATCTCTTCCTTTTTGTTCCTCCTCCGTTTCCCTTGACAGGGTGTTTTGGGGGAGGGTAAAGAGACAAGAGGGGAGGGGAGACCTAGACTTCTTTTGAAACTTTCAATTATACACTATACGATCAACCACTTTGTCACATTGACATCCAGAGCTGAAACAATTGAGTTGAACCAATACTAGGCACGGATCATTACTAGATGACGTATATTGACTTCATATGCACTATGACGTCATAATTACAACTATCAGAATGCTTTGTCCACAGTAATGTTTTTAGTTCTAATTGTTCTCGAAAAAAGTATCCAAAGAGAATAAACTGAAATGTCGATACGAATGAGCAGCCTGGTGTGTTAGTTCTGTATTCAATAAAGTCGTGCAAATCATGATCGATTTAAGTTATGTAACCATTACGCATGCCCATGATCTCTCATCAGTGGATTCAAGTGTAACCATGACCACCGCAGCTCCAGAAGCAACAGGAGAGCAGAACACGACAACTAAACCAGGTATGCCGCTATATAAGGGACGGTCCATTTATCTTTTGAGG